GAAGCAGCAAATGCTTAATACACTTCAGGTATATTTCTAGTACAGAATTTGTGTATTTTCTGCCACCCTAATTTGTGTATTCTCTGAAGTTAGGCCCAGACAAGTGAGATGAGATGTTCTCAAAGTAAGGTATTCTTGAGGCTCCTGAGATCTGAAATCTGAGGAAAATGCTTCCGGGTCACTTAAAACAAGGATTAGTGGAATGTTCTGTGTATCAGTTATATTCCTTCTCAGAGTCCTAAATAATTTTACAAATTTCTACCCAACTCAGTCCTTTTATTGACCATTCACAGTTCTTGATTGCTGAATATATATTATTCAAATTTCTAATGAGAGACCTATTTGCAACTTAAGGCCAAAAGATTTCTTTCTTTTAAAAAGATTTATTTATTTATTTATTTGACAGAGATCACAAGTAGGCAGAGAGGCAGGCAGAGAGAGAGAGGGAAGCAGGCTTCCTCTTTAGTAAACGTAAATTCTGAAGGTCCTGAGCTAATACCGGTAATTGAACATATAAAAGACTCTAGTAAACTAGCTTCTCTTTGCTAATAGTTACAGACTCAGATCAGGGAAACTTTCAGTAAAACATAGTATAAGAAACTAAATAGTAGGGGCACCTTGGTGGCTCAGTTCATTAAGCTCTACCTTTTGCTCAGGTCGTAATCTCGAGGTTCTGGGATTGAGCCCTATGTTGGGCTCTATACTCAGTGGGTAGTCCGCTTCTCTCATTTTCTCTGCCCTTCCCCCATTCATGTTCTCTCTCTATCAAATAAAGTCTTTAAAAAAGTGATCTGAACACTATCTTTTTATGAACATCAATTATTTCAATTTTTATTTTATAAATCATTTATAAAACATCATGTACTGACAACTGTCTTTTCTCTTCCCAGAGGCTAGAGGACCAGCAATATATACATATATATTTGTGTCAAGATGCAAGGCTGTTTTTACATGTGACCTGGTGTTCTTCTAGGCTGCTCCCCTAAAACCATTAGTCATGTTTCACTACTTTCTTCATTTAAGAACACTCATTCTACCAGAACTTTCTGAGTTACGCTGTACAAAAAGACATTACCTGAAGCAGCAACAGCCCAAATGATAATTAGTTCACTCCTAATCACTGATTACATATTCACACTCTGCTGAAAAACCTGAAAATTCCTTCCAACTCCACAAAACCCAAATCACTGAAATATCATAAACCACTGAACTAACACAGGACAAGAGCACTCCAACACAAGAAGTTTTCTCTCTTTCGAGAGTGCAGTTTTATCTCTCATTCTGAAATTGCTTACGATTTCTAGAAAGCTAAGAAATGTACAACTTTTGGTGCCCGGGGCCACATCCTTGGGAAGGAAGGAAACTACCTTATTTACTAGAAAGGCAAAGCCCGAGATCGGGCGTCAGAGGCAGGAGAGCTCAAACCCAGAAATAGCAGGAAAGGTGGCAGAGTTTTAGAGCCATTCCAAATCCCTCCTGTCTTGGGAGGATTCACTTTACCTGAGATCTGGGGTGCGCCATGGGGGAGTCTGTTATGACACATGTTCCTACACATTCATGGGAAAAGGATGGCCTGGGCCGGGGGTTGGGGGAGGGGTGTCTGTCCTGTGAGCCGTCACAGCCGAGTTAACTCATGACCCAGCTTTTGTCTGGCTGGGATAAGAGATCTGCACTCTGGAAGCTTATCTGTTTCTGTGGTTTGCATCTGTTTTTGTTTTCTCTCCTCTTAGATTCCTAACAAGGTGTTTTTTTGGGTTTCTGTTCAGTTGTTTTTTGGGAAAATCTCCAAGGGGAGGGGAGCAGGAAGAATCCGAATGGTAGAGAGCCCAACGCTTCAAGGGGCTCCAAAGGGAGATTTACTGTTCTGACGCAGGCAGGCACCTGCAGGTGCGGAGAAATCAGGCTGCGGGGAGCTCAGGAGGTGGGAGCTTTCTCTGAGTAGATACTGTGGTCTAGTGACCTTCGGAGAAATGAAACTGCTTCCCTCCAGGACATGGAGGGTTGGGCGATGCCAATCAACAGGGACTGAAGCCCGAGCCGGTGGTTCTTCATCCCAGCCCTGAGTCTCGTTGTTCCTCACTGACCTGTGCAGGGGATGCGTGTCTGTAGTGTGGCAGTGTCCTGGGGCATAACTGCCTCGCTCTGCCTTTTTCTCCTCTCTTCTTACAAGAGACTATCATGTAGATGACGCTTTTCAGCTTGTGAGAGGAGAAGCAGACTCTCCAAATACCAAGGTCCAAGTATTGCTAGAAAATACTAGGATAAGAAGAGATCTTGGGGAAAGGGTGTGGGGGCTGCGGAGTGGGTGAGGTTGGCGGAGCTCCTGGTTCCAATTTCTTAGTTCCAGGTACATCTTCCTTATGTGGGAGGAAATTATTGATCCCTGTAGATCAATCATGTCTGACCCTTTCATTTAATCCTCAGACGGCTTTCTCCAAGCCTCCACCTTCACTTGGAGGCAAAGACCGGCCTATAGAACAAGCCAATGGAGTTAAGAGCAAGGCCAATCCTTTCTTATTTCATCAGATTACTGGCCTTCTACTTTGGGCCCATGATCAAACTGAACAGCTTAAAATCTTAATCTACAGTCGATTTTGCCAGGTAGAGTATATCCTACAACCTTCCTTCCACCCGTCACACTTGTGGCAAAAATGAGTCTTTAAAAATGCTCAAAATGCAGACAAAGAGAAAACAGACGAAGACTTTCAGAGTGTTCCCAGCCCCAAAGTGAACTTCTCTGAGTGGGCTGTTTGGGGCACAAATGTTAAGGATTTTCCATTTGAGCTGAAATAGTGCTCAAAAGAACTGTTGAAATATTAGTGTTACAGCAATATCCCGAGGAACCGCGTATCACGTAGGTCTACAGTCACAGACAGGACCCTTGGTTGCTGAGTTTGAGATGACAACCATTTTTGGGGGGGAATGGGGAGAGGCAGACTTTTCTTTCCCTTCGGTATTTTGTGCCTCGGGAAATACTCCCGAGGAACACCCCAGAATTTCAGGATGAAGATAATATATTTTCAAAAATCCAACAGTGACCATCTTAAAAAACAGACAGTTAATGGCGACTTCCGGGGGCAGAACTGCCCAGTGAAATGTAACAGGGTAAGTGCAAGTTCTTTGCTACACCCGAACTTCCACCACGTTAAAAGACAGAATATTCTACCTGCTTGGGTGCTCTCTCTCTCTCCCTCTGACAAATAAATAAATAAATAAAATCTTTAAAAGATAGAATATGCTGAAATGACTAATATTTAACCTCATCCAAAAGGAAGGAAAACAAACATCTGTGGGAAGCTGGGCTTCCCTTAGCACCAGTGCTTAGGCAAGAGGCCAAGAAGAGATACGACACCTGCCATGTCCGGAATGTTTCCATCCCCACAAAATTCTTATGTGGACACCTATTGCCCACCGTGATGGTACTAGGATGTGCGGCCTCTGGGAGGTGATTAGGTCAGGAGGGTGGAGCCTTCATGAGTGAGATTAGTACCCTTTTAAGAGACCCCAGAGAGCTCCCTTGTCTCGCCCCTTCTTGCTACCATGGGACCCACTTAGGAAATGGACCTTCACCAGACACCGAATCTGCCCGTATCTCGATTTTAGACTTCCAGACCTCCAACAAAAGCAGAAAAAAGTGTCTGTGGTTTATAAGTTACCCCAGTTATGGTATTTTGTGATAGTGGTCTGAACAGACTACAGCAGCCCACAACCAAAGCTCTGTTTTTCTGCCTGTCCTACTCCAAGGCTTTCCATGGCTTATAATGTACACTTTCTATATTACTTTAAGGCCCGAGAGCCTTCACCAGGCCCCCTGCCTTAAAAAACAGCAGCTGTAAAGGTACTGAGAACAAGCCAGAACCTTTCTTATTGAAGTACTGAGTTCTTATCATGATTCTTGCATTTGCTGTATGTTAGGGTAGGACTAAATCGAAGGATCTTTCCCTTCCTCCCTCAGGCAGAGGTGCAAGGCTATTTTTGGAAAAACACTTATGTTATTACTTCAGTTGCTTTTATGGTCCCCCTGTAGGAGGGGTCAGAGTGCAGGCCCACAGTCCCTTTTCTAAAATCTTTGGACCTGATATGCTTGGAATTCAAAAATTTTTCAGATATGGCATCCAGAGCACATATTACACAAAACTTCCAATGAAGGTGGTGGGGGCGGGGGGGTTTGAGCCAGCACCTTGTAATCAAATACATTCATATTTCTGTGATAAAATGTAGGAATGTTCACAACAAAGATTGTAAACGGCCTCTCACCAGTTCAGGGCAAGCTTTGCCATGAGAGGACATTGTGTGTCAAATGTGCAAAAGAACTTCCAGTTTTCTGGACGTTTTGGATTTTGAAAGTGAGGGTAAGAGAGTGTAGATCTGTATGAGGTTTTGAAAGAATTAAGGTCAGTGATTTCAAAGAGTTAAGAGAGAAAAATCTGTTGGTGTTTAGAAAAAGGTGAGACCGACCGCACATCATCCAAGGGGCCTCTTCAAACGGGTCTTTCAGATACAGAATTTGACCGTGTTGAACGGGACAGAGGTAGATGGGTTGTTCCTGTCCCTGCACTTCTGTCATAGGACCTGGACACAGTCTGTCCCCCAGGGGGAGCGCTATTGTCCTGGAATTTGAGCTGCCTCACTGTTCCTCAGGGAAAGGGGCCCCAACTGCTCTGAGACTCACAGGAACATTCCCAGACTAGAATAAAAACCTCAACAAGGCAAGAGTGTTGGAGCCAATTGGCACGCTTGCACTATGACTCCATAATAAAGTAATTACACAGTTTGATTTTTTAAGGATATAAAAACCAAAAAAAAAAAAAATTTTTTTTTTTTTCTTAATATAGGGAAAACAATTCTTGCTAAAATCCTCATCTTTGGCGTTTTAAAGGTGGGACCTAGAAGGTTCTATTCTGGGTTCTTGTGCTAGGGATTCTATCATAGGGGATGGGTAAGTGGTCCTTGAGATGAGGGGCTGTCATCAGCGGAGACATAGGGAGATAAAGGCTTACTTGGCTTCCAGGGCCAGTGCGATGATGCCCGCGGCCATGGGGGCCGAGGCCGAGGTCCCAGTGTGGTTGTCCGTGCAGCGCTGCCTCAGATCTGTAGTAATCTAGAAGACAGAAATGAAAAATTTAGGGTTCTGGGGCCATGGGAGTCACATGCAAGTAGAATGAAATTCCCTCATAAAAGCAGAACGGAGGGGGGTGTTGAAACAGTTGTTTTAAATTCCTTGCTCCTTTACTTCTGTGACTGTATCTCTTCTAGAGAACCGCCTGTGCAAATCAACTTTGAAAAGAGAAGCATTTGGAAATCAGACTCCACTTCTGTTAAAACCGGGGTCAGGACTAGGGCAAGTCTTTGGCTTGGAACATAGGGGTTATGCCTGTGTGCCCTTCCATTTTCCCCTCAAACCCCCGCTTGCCGCTTGCTTCACCCCAGACCCAGCTCTAGTTAAAACTAAAGTTCTTTCATGACCCCAACATTTTTCATGATCAGATATGTTGAAGCAACCACCAGACGCTGAGGTAGGCATTGGAAGCATGAAAGCACACGGTCTGGCCTTGCCCTTCCAGAACGGATACCTTGGGAGAAGCAAGGGTTTTAAGCAAAGGCGTGCTCTGCCATCGACGGAACGTGGGTTTTTGGCATCCACAGAAATGATGCAGGGAAGAACCAAGACCTCCTCAAAGATTTAACATGAATACCCACAACAAGGTTGAACCCAGGGTGCCTGAGGGGAAGTTACCGCACTGAGGGCCTGGCGGTATGTTACAGAAGGAGATTTTGCCATTTCTCCATTTTTGAAATCAGAATGTGAGAACTAGATCATTTTTTTCCTCTTGGTTTGAATCCAGTTTACTTCAGCTGCGGCTGAATAACATTCCTATCAGCAAGAGCCCTGCTTTTAAACCTCCCCCTTCATGACCATTTCACTCAGGGAGAAGAAGTTGAAGTGAGATTCTCCTTCACAAGACAAATGAAACATGCTGGGGTGAGATTTTGCAAACCAGTGAAATAGCTAAGATTTAAAAAACCCTCCCTCCCCAAGAACCATCTACTTTTGTCTCCTTGGGGCTGATATTGCTCCTGCCAGGAATGCACAAGCCTCGTGAGGTGAGCTGGAGCCCATCTCGAAGTTACTGGAAGACAGCGGTTAAGCTTTGTTTGGCATCAGGACAAAAAGGATAACTGAGGTGAAAGTTCATCAGAAAGGTGTGGGGGGACAAAAGCAGTTGAAGGCAAAGTCCTATGGTTCTAAGGTGTATCCTTCCAGAAGAGTGTGGAGATTGGCTGATTTGGAAAGAAATCTGATCTTCACAGGAAGAAAGTGCTGCCTAAGTCTTCAGAAATGAGCCTTCCCCAATAGTTTCCTCAGAGTCCCCTGAGGATGTATGAATGGACTCTTTAATTATCTGGTATAGATCTACATTGACAAGACAGCTGACCTGGTTTCACATAGGGCCAACAGTTCTCTTTTCTTTGTTCCTTTTGACACTTTTAATGTCACCAGACCATCCATACCAGAGAGGCACCGATACCCAAGGAGTGGCAGAATGAACAAAAATATAGAAGAGAGCCATAAGACATGGTGGTGGGAGAGAGGAGGCAAGCCTTACCCTCTTTTCTTAAATAAGTGAATGGTGGCCAAGAGCCCCCCCCCAGTGTGTCTGGCAAGCGAGGGAGGTTGTTTCTTGATGAACAGACGTGGTTAACTAGCCATCTTCTGAACCTCCGTGTGGATGCTTATAAGATGTTTGGGTAAACAGAGCCCTACCCACTTCTGCATAAGAAACTTTCGGGATCTTTATTCATTGACTTTAAAAGGTATTTTTTGAGTTTTTGTTGTTGTTGTTGTTGAGGTAAAAAAAGCATGTAACACAAATTTACCATTTCAACAACTTTTTAAGGGTCGAGTATAGTATTGTTAACTATATGCACGCGTACGAAAGATCTCTCTAGCACATTTTTATCTTGTATGAATAAAAAACTCCACCCACTAAACAACTCTCCATTCTCCCCTCCTCCCAGCCTTTGGTAACCACCATTTTACTCTCTGTTTCTATGAGTTTATCTATTCTAAGGTACCTCATATAAACATAATTATATGTATTTGTCTTTGCACGTGCACATGTGTGTGTGTGTGTGTGTGTGTGTGTGTGAGAGAGAGAGAGAGAGACAGAGAGACAGAGAGATCTGGCTTATCTCACTCAGAATAATGTCCTCAAGTCTCGTTTTGTTGTAGTACATAGCAGGATTTCCCTCTTTTTAGGCTGTATAATATTTCATTGTATGTATTTACCACATTTTCTTTCTTTGTCAGTGGACATTTGGGTGCCTTCCGTCTCTTGGCTCTTGTGAATAATGCTGCCAAGAGCACAGGGAAGCAAAGAGCTCTTCACAATCCTGTTTTCAATTCTTTTGACTATGTGACCAGAAGTGGGACTGCTGGACCATTAAAGGGATGTCTACTTCATTTGAAATTGTTGGTCAACGCACAGCCTTGTTTTCCAAAGTCCTGGTCCGTACGTCAAGGCATAAACACCCCAGAAACAGTCTGTTTCCGAGTCTCCAAATCCTCTGTTGTTGAGAGATGGCCCTGCCTGCATTCTTCTCATTTTACCTCACTCTCATGGTCATATTCCTTGGCCAAATTTTCTTTTTTTTCAATGACTTGTGCCTGGATTCAAGATTTTTCATGAAGTCTTCCCACTTGGCTCCTTTTGCCTGTCCTTCAGCTGTACCAGACCCTTGCCGTACACAGAAACCCATCCAGGATAAACACCCCAAGTGTGTGCAACGTTTTTGAGTTGAATAAAGAGACACCTCCCATCAACCTCCAACATGAATGATAAAAACTTTGGGATGTCAGGTCCACAACAGGAAGAAGGCTCATCCCTACAGAGTCCCCAGGTAGAGACGTACATGCTGTACGCGTAAATAAAAAGTCGCCCCGTACTTTTCTATACAAACACCAACCACATGTTACACGCTCTCAATACGGCCATGCTTGTGGAATTCCCGACTGGTGCTGGGCTCTCCTTTATTTATTTATTTTTCAAGCACTTTATGTAAAGGAAACCTAAGAAGTGAAAAAAGAGCGAAAAGGGGGTGAGGTATGAAGGCCAGGGAGAGTGGAAGGGAAAAAGGAACGGAGAGGAAAGAAACAAAAGCAGTCTCCCTCTCCCTCCTTCTCACCCTGCTTTCAGGGGAAATTCCAGCTGGGTCATTTCAAGAGGAAGTTACTGTCACTGGTGGAAATATTTAGGCGTAAATTACTGGAAAGATCTAAGGCAGGCTTTTCATCATTAGGAGAAGTCACGGTATCAGGGAATTTAGAGGTGTCTCTTTAGAATGAAAAGGCAAAGACCACCAAGGAGAATGCAGTCTCGAAGAAAAATGATGTCCCCAAAACTGGAACCACATGGGGGACCCCATTAATCACAACGCGTGCACGCAAACCTTGACAGCATAATTTAAAAGCCAAGTTGCGTGGAACAGTCGGCCCGTGTCACGGAGGCTGGAGGCTCTACGTGTGGGAACAGAAAGCTAAAGCCTGGGAGTTTCGATTCCATTTTAAAGCAAGTCTCGGAATTTGGTTTTGATCCCCGGGGATGCATCTCGCACGCTCCAGGTTCCCTCAATTCAATACCAAATCAGAAACAGAATTCTCCTCCACGCAACTTCTCAGATTGCTCAAGAAAATAGCCTCCCTGTCCGTCAGAGTGGGGGAAACAGGAGAGGACACCGGGCCTCGAGCCAGATCAAAGCTGTCCTGGTGAGCAAATTAGACGTTTGGCCTCAGGATGAAGAGCCGACGGTTTGGGGAACGCCAGCGCGTTAGGGATGTCCTCGGTGTTTGGTGAGAAGGGGTGGGTGTCGTTCAGGTCTCGGCTCACTCCCTCTGAGCAGAACCCTGGCCTTTTCTCATCCTCAGCTCTTATTTCCTAATATTTCACATTTCATTAGCTGGGCTGATTGGATCTTTTATCCCAGCCTGTGAGGAAATTCTCCAGGGAACCTCAGCTCAGGCGGACTTTGGCCATGAGTGGCAAGTCTTAACAGCAACCCTGGAGTTAAGAGTTTCTATCTCCCTGATATCTTGCGACTGGTTTTATTTTGAAGGGGGCATATTGTCTCATAGCTGTTAAAAGAGCAACCGAGCAGATATTTTTAAAACATGAAATGATTCTACTGTCTGTTACGTTGAATTTGTTTCTGGTGTGGAGTTTGATTTGGATGAGGAATGTGCCAGAAAAGCTGTTTGAAACAAGCGATGGGGGAATGAAGGCAGAAAATAAATCTTCAATGTGTCAAGGAATAAAACAGAAGAAGCTGATTTATTAAGCACAGCAAAATAAAATGCAATGGAGGACCAATTCATGCTCCCTGGGTTCAACCGAAGTCTGGTCTAAAACGCAGTCGTGACCGAGGAGGCCACACAGCACTCCAGCCCCGTGTTGCTAGGGGAATCTGGAGGTGAGACGCGCATATGGGAGGTTCTGCTTACAAAGGCGAGGCCACTGTTGCTGGAGGAGTCTGCCATCGTCGATGATTTTTGCATTTCCATCATGTTCAGCTCTGTGCTAGGTAGGGAGCAGAAGCACAGTATTTATTGGCTAAGCTGAATTATTAACATCAAGCTCCCTCAGACTCTGCTTGAAGGCTCTCCAATTATTAAGAAAGACTTCAAGGTTTTGTTGTTGTTGTTTGTTTTGTTTTGTTTTTTTTTTTTTTTGGTCAAATCTCCAAATAAAGCTCACTTACACTTAGAAGCCACCTACAGAAGAGTACGTGTGTATACGTGTGCGTGTAATCCAGGGCCTAAAGTAGAGCTCTTCCTTACCACCACTGTTGCTACCCCATGCTGGATGGCTTAGAGAACCATCACCACTTGCAACAAGGGGGACGGCACACAACAGGTGTTTACATGTGTGCACACGCATGTGTGTGCATAAAACTACATTTAAATCCACAGAACCTCTGCACGCTCGGTACACTATTAACTCAGGAAGTGGGAGGCTCAGAGGGAACAACTTGCCCAAGGAGGCGTAGCTACTAAAGAGATGGGTAAGTGGTAGAGGATAAAATCCTGACATGGCCCCAAAAGGA